TAGACAAAAAGGGAAAAATCCTTTAAGATTAATAATAATACTCTGATAATACTTAATTCCTACTCTTTCCCTGGTCCCGTCCCCTCCCTCCGACGTGTGTGTGTGTGTGTGTGTGTGTGTATATGTGTGTATATATATATATATATATATATATATATATATATATATATGTATGTATGTAGATATATACAAACACACACACCCTCCCTCCACTTTAACATACGCTCTTGAACAAGACACAGCAGAGGCAAAGTAAAGGCCTACACAGCAAATGCCAAACTGCTACTAGAGTACCAAACTGAGATTTAACTGCTACCATAGAGCAATACAAAATAAGTACTACTGTACTTCCTGCATGGAGAAATATTTGCCAAGTTATTGAGATAAGATAAGAGTCTGAAAAAAATTAATTCTATTTCACGAAACTGAGAAAATAATCAATACAATGTAAATATGGATATATAAAAGACTCTTAATACAATTAAGAGGGAGGCTGCTGAGGGAATATGAACTAAAGGAATACTCAGAGGACACACTATAATTAGTATTTCTTTTTTTATTACAAAAACAAAACTGCAGAACAATAGTTAAAGAGAAAAATATGTTCCCTTTTAAAGTTTAACGTACTGTACTTGCCCAAGCACGCAGCAGCATTTTTATTAATGTGACACTGCCACATCCCAGGATTTTTATTATGTATATGTATCTCTATATTTAACAAATGTGTCCCCTTTTAGACCAGGAAGAGGCTCCACCAATCACGAGCCTCTAGTAATTGCCTCCAGGTTCTGATCTTACCCCATTAACACTTGCTGTCTTCCAGTGCTTTATGGCATATATAGTTTGTTCCTTAACAGCTATTCCACTCATTACCTCAAAATTTGACCTTCTGCAGGAGGGTCCACTTGTATTGTGTCTATTTCTATGGCTAGAAGATGGACAGCTACAGACAGTGTTGGGGGGTGAAACTTGGGGGCAGGAGGATTGGAATCTCCTCTTCATGTTTGTCTACCTATACCTCATCTGCCCCAAATCAAGTGTACTGTTAAGGTTAAAAGTTAAGGGACCACTGTTAAATGTCCCTTTTTATTTATTTATTTTGTGTCCTCCAGCATATATTTTGGGGGATCAGCTGGAAGCGTACGTGGTGTCAGGGATAAAAGGAGTCATTGACAAGTCTTGTTTTCTTGAAATCTTGAGACTATATTTTGTTTTATAGTATTAATGTTTTTATTTATTCATGTATTTGAGAGAGTCTAGAACAATCTGTCACACGGGTTTCTAATGCTAGAACAAGTAAAAGGCTGTGCTTGTGGACAAAGAAGAAGGAACCATAGAGTTTCTGAGCTTAGAACGAGCAAACAAACAAACATAATTTTGGTTGTGAGCCTAGAACAAATTTATTTTTATCTTTAGAAATCCAAGTAGAGATTGTAGCCATATTAGTGCAGTGATGCAGTAAAAAAAAACAGATAAAATTTGTATCTTGTAATACCCTTTTTTATTTTTAATCGCTCACAAATGCTTTAGACTTGAGCAAGGGAGGTTCTCCCGAAAGCTTATTTTTAGAAATCCATGTAACCATCAATGGTAGATGGTACTTACAGTGTCAACAAATGAAGAATACAGTAAAAGATATATGATTCAGTCTAATGCAGGGCTTGGATTTTCAATACCTCCCTCAAAACTTGACAATATTACAAACAGAATGCAACCGGATACATAGAAACTAAATTAGACAAATTCAACTGTGACAATCCTAATGCTGGCATACAAACCAACTGTGGCTTTGTCAATACATGTTTTGTGTGTGTATAAAGAATGCCGGGTGTCAATTCTTTCAGAGCTTCGAGAATAAGCGTGTAAGAGAGACTCAGAAATATTGTACCTGACAGAATGAATAAAATTGCAACTTTAAAACCATTTGTTTGTTCTTCTTTATTGAGAAAGGGACATGGAAATAACCTTCAATAAATGACAAAGGCTACGCTGTAGCAATGGACAGATGGTAAAGATTTTGTCAGCTATCTTTTGCTGAGATTACCAAGGATTCACAGAAAAAAAAAAAAAAATATATATATATATATATATATATAGTAATGTCTAGTGATATAAATGTGATAACTGCTCCTTATTACCAGCAAGCGTGGAAATTATTTAAAATGTAAATCAGAGCTTTATTTAATGTGGTGATTAAAGAGAAACCTGTGGAACTGGCTAACTAGAAGGACAAACCAGAATTAAACTGTGGTAAGTGAATCATTATACCAGCAGTCACAACCCAGGATTTTTATCCATTTTCTTTAACAAATAACTGTTTGTAAAGTGTGAAAAATTAAATTAAATTTGGCAGCCATGTAAATCAACATCACTAGTACTCCAGTTACCTTACAATGTTCATCTTAAATGGACTTGATCTTCAGCTAATCACCCCAAAATCGAAACAAACTACTTGCTTTAAATGAACACTATAACATTAGGAATAATGGCCAAAAGCCATGATAAATAGCATCAGCTGACACCAAATATCAGTAAAAATTTACCACTTCTACAAAGTGGCTATTCAGGGCAGTGGTGTATCATGTTTTTGTGCTGCCCTAGGCAGGACAAAACTCAGACACCGCCCCCCACCCCCGCGGCGCCGCCTCCACGCGACCCTTCCCCCCTGCCCCGCCTTCTAAATACACACACACACATTCACTGACAGATACGCACACACACACAGTCAGACACACACAGACACTTACATTAACACACTCACATTTTTTTATTTAACCCCACAGCCTCCTTACCTTTGGGAATGCTGGAGGGGGGTTCTCCCATTCCCTGGGGTCCAGTGGCTGCTGGGCGGTCGGCTGGTCGGCGCTGGCGAGGGAGCACTTTCCCCTGAGCTCTCTGCTCAGCTCCCTTGCCGGTCACCTGGATCCGGAATATGATATCATATTCTGGCTCCCAGCATTTGCCCTGGGCATTTGGGGGCGGCTTTTTTTGCCGCCCCATGGAAAATACAGCGCAAGGCAAATGCCTTGTTTGCCTCGCGGCTAAAACGTCACTGACAGGGTCCCTGTTTATAACTGTAGTGTAAGGTATAACAGATGGAGCCCAAAAATGCAGCAGGTAGCTGGATAAAATAATTTTTTTTAAAAACTGCTCGCCGGTCCAGCATCTCCACGAGGGGAAAGGGAGACACGGCATGGGAGATCGTGCCAGGGGATGTGTGTGTCAGGGTTACTAATTGATCCAGCATGCAGTACTGTGTCACACCTAGGACTTTAACTGGACTTTAGAATGGCCGGACTTAACGTCTCCGAGAATAGTCAAATTACTTACCAAGGTCATGGACACAGAATCAGACACAAAGAAGAGGGAAAGCCAAAAGTCAAGGATACCAGATATCAGGGAAGTCCAAACAAACCCAAAGTCCTTCTTCAACGTTCTGGAGAGGCTGGGGCATACACCCCGTTTGAGCCTGGCTATAGGTAAGACCAGGTGAAAATTGTACATACTGTTTATTTTTTTTATTTTCTCCTACTTTACTTTCTCTTTATCTCTTCCCTTCCCTAACCCTACCCGTACGTGCTTTCCCTTGGGAGGGGGAGGGGGAGATATCAGGTGCACTGAATGGTTGCGCAGGGGCCATAGGGGACCAGCCCTACCATATGCAGGTATATGAACACGAGCAGCACTTTGGTATGTGTTTAGGGATCGGTCACTATCCATGATACGCTACACCCCTCTAGTGTTAACATGCCTCTGTAATTCATATTTTTAAATGTTAAGGGCCTAAACGCCCCAAAGAAACGTTGCCTCATGTTTAGGTAACTTAAACGCTTAGATCCTGATATAGCCTTCCTGCAGGAGACACATGTACCGGCGTCGGCAAAGTTTGCCTTAAAAGACCACACTTTTCGTACTGTATACGAATCTAGGGCCTTCAACAAGAGGAATGGCGTGGCTGTGCTCCTGCATCACAGGCGCCCGCTTAGGGTGGGGACCGCAGAGGCGGATTCAGGGGGACGCTTCGTACGAGTATCGGGGACTCTCTATTCGCATTCGATACACATTCTCAATTTCTATGCTCCGAACGACCCTTCCATAGATATTTGGAACGAGATGGCTCAGATGGTGCATAGCCTGCCGCACGGCATGGTGATAGTGGGAGGTGACTTCAATGCCACCCCGTGTCCTGCTATGGATAGGGGTCCTTGCGGTGAACTCCCCCGGTCTCATAGACAGGGGTGGGCAAGACAAGTTGCTACACACCTTCATGCAACGCACTGGCCTTGTAGATGTTTGGAGAGTCCACCATCCAGATGACCGCGACTATACTTTTTATTCGGCACCACATGACACTTACTCGAGAATTGTTCTATTCTTGGTGAACCCCCTTACAGTGCCCAAAGTAACCGTGGGATCTATTACGAGGTCAGACCACACTGAGGTTACGCTGACTCTCTATAAACTGTGCACGGCATCTCCGTGGTCATGGAAGTTGAATACTTCCTTACTTCAAGACCCGACGATAGTTGAGGCCACTTGAAAAGAACTGATTGATTATTTTGCTAGAAATACTGAGTCCGGCGTGTCACCGGCCACGGTGTGGTGAACCCCCTTACAGTGCCCAAAGTAACCGTGGGATCTATTACGAGGTCAGACCACACTGAGGTTACGCTGACTCTCTATAAACTGTGCACGGCATCTCCGTGGTCATGGAAGTTGAATACTTCCTTACTTCAAGACCCGACGATAGTCGAGGCCACTTGAAAAGAACTGATTGATTATTTTGCTAGAAATACTGAGTCCGGCGTGTCACCGGCCACGGTGTGGGCGGCTCTCAAAGCCGGTTATTCGGGGCGTACTGATTTGTGAAGCCACCCTGAAAAAAAACTGCAAGGCACAATTACTATCTTCTCTCTTGGAATCCCTGAGGAAAATGGAACAAAAACATAAATCTGTCTCTTCTTGTTGCACTTTGGTGGAGGTGCAGACCCTGTGGTTGTCTGTCCGCGAAACACTCCTAGATGAGACAGCAAGAGCTATTGTGTGGTCCTAAAGTACCTATTATGAAAAATCTAACAAAATGGATACGCTCTTAGCCAGATCACTCCGCCCGAGGCAGAGGAACACTCCCAAAGATTAAAGATTCTTGTGGTAAATACCAAACAGATCCTACCAATATCGCTCGGGTTTTTACGGACTACTACACCAAATTAAATACACCTCTTGTGGCACTGCCAACGATTCGCTAAGCGAATTAGACAACAGCCGTACTTTTTTGTCCGCTTGTCCCTACCTACATTGTTAGGTGCGGACTCCGATAACTTACAAAAGCAGATCTCTGCCAAGGAGATAGATGCGGCCATATCTTCTTTACACTTGGTTCCAAATTATTATGCAAATTCTATTTAAGTGTCACAAAGATTAAATATTTTGGTTTTCAGTTTAACTCATGGATGGCATTGTGTCTTAGGGCTCTTTTGATCACTGAAAACAATCTCGGACACCTGTGATGATTAGATTGCCAGGTGAGCTCAATTTGAGGAAAAACTACTAAAGGGGGGTGTTCCACATTATTAATCAGAGCACCATTTTCATGCAATATGGGGAAGAAAAAAAAGGATCTCTCTGCCGAAAAGAGTGAAATAGTTCAATGCTTTGGACGAGGTATGAAAACATTAGATATTTCATGAATACTTAAGCGTGATCATCGCACTATTAAGAGATTTGTGGCTGATTCAGAGCACAGACGGGTTCATGCAGATAAAGGAAGATTTCTGCCAGATCCATGCATCGGATCAAGAGAGCAGCTGCTAAAATACCATTACATAGCAGCAAACAGATATTTGAAGCTGCTGGTGTCTCTGGAGTCCCACAGACATCAAGGTGTAGAGTCCTCCAGGGTCTTGCAACTGTGCATAAATCTTCTATTCGGCCACCACTAACCAATGCTCACAAGCAGAAACGGCTGAATTGGGCAGAAAAATACATGAAGACTAATTTTCAAACAGTCCTGTTCACTGATGAGTGCCGTGCAACCCTGGATGGTGCAGGTGGATGGAGAAGTGAATGGTTGGTGGACGGCCACCCTGTTCCAACAAGGCTGCGACATCAGCAAGGCGGTGGTGGAGTCATGTTTTGGGCCGGAATCATGGGAAGAGAGCTGGTCGGCCCCTTTAGGGTCCCCGAAGGTGTAAAGATGACCTCTGCAAAGTATGTGAGTTTCTGACTGACCACTTTCTTCCCCTGGTACAGAAGGAAGAACTATGCTTTCCGTAATAAAATCATCTTCATGCATGACAATGCACCATCTCATGCTGCAAAGAATACCTCTGCATCAATGGCTGCTATGGGGATAGAAGGAAAGAAAGTCATGGTGTGGCATCCATCCTCCCCTGACCTCAATCCTATTGAGAACCTTTGGAGCATTTTCAAGCAAAAGATCTATGAGGGTGGGAGGCAGTTTGCATCCAAACAGCAGCTCTGGGAGGCTATTCTGACATCTTGCAAACAAATTCAAGCAGAAACTGTCCAAAAACTCACAGGTTCAATGGATGCAAGACTTGTGAAGCTGCTATCAAATAAGGGGTCCTATGTTAAAATGTAATGTGACCTGTTAAAATGTTTAAAAAGTTAAAATGTTGTTATAAGTTTGATTGAAATAGCTTTTGAGTTCAGTAAATATGCTGCAAACACAACAAATGACAATTTTCAGTTCTTTACAACCTATAAAGTGTTTTGAAACTTACTGTGCGTAATAATTTGGAACAGTACATTGTAAGTTTTTTTATTTTTAAAAAAAAATACTGTTATCATTAGGAGGTTTGTTCAATAAAATTTGAATTGTACTCTTAATAGTTGATAACATGAGAATTATGTTGACTGTTATTTACATCAATTATTTAGGTAAATGAGAAAAATATAAT